ACCACTGATCGTTCAGTTAGCAATGAAGTGCTTAACCACTTGTACCACCATGGTTCCCTTTTATAAGTATATTGTTATTGTTGTTGTTGATTGCTGTCAAGTTGAACATGACTCAAAGTGACTCTATGAACAAAAGACTTAATGCCTTTCCATAACTGTCGTCATTTCTCCAAGTTCATAGATTTTCCAGAGGCATGTATGTGGTTTAGGAAGTGGATGCCACTCCTGCTTCCAAACCTTTTTGCGATTTGGAGTTCCACCAAACACTGTCCACATTGGGAATACATTCTGGTATTTGATACCCCAATGGTGCAAGGTTCAGCATCACAGCAACCCAGGTTACTTCATACTGCACATTGACAAAGAGTGATGTACAAAGTGGAAGATTATTCCTCCAGATTTAACAGTACTAGTTTGATTTAGCAGTGGTTAAGTTTTGTCAAGTCGAATATGACTGAGAGTAAGCTTTTCACAAAAAACCTGAACTCTGTTCTATAACTAACATCATTTCTGTACAGAACTCTGTTCTATAACTACCTAACATCATTTCTGTACATTTAGAGAGTTTGTAGAGTTTCCAGAGGCATCTAGTTTAGGAAGTGGATACCATTCCTATTTCCCAGCATAAATCAGTCTGGAAGCTCATCCAAACATTGTACATAATGAGTAACCATTATGGTATTTGACAAAACTATGGAACAGTGCACAGCATCACAGCAACAAAGACAAAAGATTGCTATATCATTTAATGAATATTCATTCGAAAATTAATATATTAAACCTGCAGGGTTTTAAAGTCACCTTTGAGCAGCTCTCCATCCTAGGCAAAAACTCAAAGACACCTACTCTTGGGGGGAAAAGAGCAGTAATACACATCAAATACAAACCCAAAAACTTCCCTTACGTGCCCATCAGGACTGCCATCAAGATGCTAGCAAGCAGCTAAACTCCCAGAGCAGAGGCTCTAGGCCCCAGCCTGCAGTCCCATCCTCTCCCTCTGTGGGGTTCTAAAGCCACACCTTTGAGCAAACCTCCACCCTAGGCAAAGGCTCAAGGACATCCACTCTTGGGGAGAAAAAAAGCAGTAAAACATTGTACTTTATTAAAAAATAACTGAAAGACAAGATGATAAAACAATGAGAATGAGATGAAAAGGAAACAAAGTCTAGAAAGCAAATCAAGGAGTAAAGCAACTTTACTGTGAAAACGGTATGTAAATGAAAAATGTTCAAAATATAGAAGAGCAACTTTTGAAAGCAGGTTTGGTAACACTAGAGACAATTATTCATGTAATCAAAGGAGTTATAGTGGTGCGATGCTTAAGCATTCAGCTGTTAACTGAGAGGCTGGCAGTTTAAACCTACCGACTGTTCTAAGGGAGAAAGACACAGCAGTCCACTTTCCTAAAGATTTGGGAATTATATGATGTGGTTGTGGTTTGAGGTCACTAGGAGTCAGAATAGACTCAACAGCAGTGGGTGGAGTTTGCATGAAATCACAGTGAATTCTAGAGGGCAGACAAGGAGCTGAATGACAATCTGAATCATAAAGATACAAAGATACACAAATAGTATACAGTATGAAGATGATAAGTAGAGTCTCTGAGTAGAAAGTCTAACAAAATGGAACAGAAGATATATTTTAAAATGTATGAAAATTTTCCCAGAAATGAAAAAAAGGACCAAATCTATTTCTGGAAATACAGAATGTTCAAAACTTAGACATATCCTCGTGAAGCGATCACACAGCAAGGAAAAACAAATCTTTCTTCAGATATCAAACCAGAAAAAGCTTGTATTCTGTTGAGGGAGGAGAAGAAAAAAAATCCATCACCCTGGGTTCAGCCCTTCCCACTGAAACATTTATTGTCGTGCTGTCTGTAAGAAGCCCTGACATAATGTCGTTGTTAGATACGGTCAAGGAGTCCATGACTCATAATGGCAACTCTGTGAAGAACAAATCTGAACCCTGTCTTATCCTACACCATCCTCACCATCCCTGACATACTTAAATCCATTCCTACAATCACAGTGTCAGTTGCATATAGGGCTGCTAACTAAAAGATCAACAGTTTGAAACCGTCATCCACTTTCTGTTAAAATTTGCAGCCTCAGAAACCCTGGGAAGTGTTGCCATGAATGGATTGGAATAAACGGAATGGCAGTGGATTGGGTTTTTAAATCTGAATATGAAGAGTTACCCAAAAATATTCTGATCAGTCAAGATATTGTTATACTATAAAGACAGCAGAGAGATACGTTTAAACATCATTGAACTAAAGCAACTATGTTTTTGTTATTGTGGTTTAGGTGCCATTGAGTCTAGTACATCAGCAACCCTTTGAACAACAGATCTGAGCCCTGTCTTATCCTGTGACATCTTCACAGTCTCTGACATACTTGAGTCCATTGCTGCAGTCACTATGTCAATCCATCTGATAAAACTATAGCAAGTTTAAGTAGTTTAAACGTAAGTAAGTTAAAGTTAAGCAAGTTTAAGTATTGTGACTGGCTTACTTGTTTAAGAATTAATGTTGTAGATCACTATTGTAAAAGTAGAAGGATAACTAGTAAAACATGCATGGAAACCCACGGGGGAGAGGGGGAGAGCAGAGGAGTGAGGATGGGTTGGGGTGAAATCACAGGGTTGCACAATTTGGTGTGTAGAGGGAGGGGGTAAAGGAAATGGGAAAGCTCTGGCCAGGACCTGAAAAGATAGGGTAATGATGGGCATAGCCCGATGGTGATTAATTTTATAAAGAATGGGAAAGATTGTATGAAACACAATGTGATGAAGACTAGTGTGAAATACAGTGTACACAAACTCTGTAAGCAAGCCAATATAAAATAAAAATTTTAAAAAGAAAGATGACAAAAAACCCAAAATAATGTTACAGAATATGAATTCTGTCATTTGGGAAAAATAAAAATAGTTAAGGCCAAGGAGTGAAGGAAATGGGAGAGTATATATGTCTTCATTTTTCCAGCAAGAGTAAATCAAGTATCATCTAAAATTATAACATGAAGTTTAAAATTCAAATGCAAAACTCAACCTCTTAATAGTTTATGATTTTTTTTTTAACCTTCAAATGGTCACTTAGGACAAATATATATGAACTTTTACAGTTCTTTCATTTGTACTGTTTAATCATAATTCGTATTTGTTGTTATTATGTGCCATCAAGTCACCTGCGACTATATGCACAGTAGCTCTGAATCTTGCTCTATCCTGGGCCAGTCTCACTATTTCTGACACACCTTCCCTTCCAGACGCATTGTAGCAAACAGTTGTAGTCACTGCTGGCTGTGGTTGAGCAATTTCCCAGGGATAAGTTAAGGGACAATCCTTTTTGTCCACTTGGGAGTTTAAAGCAAGCAGATTTGGGCACATGATAAAAGCACAATAGGAGAGACAGCTTTTGATAACAATTGCTCTTTGAGACTCAAATTTTTTAATAGTTTCTCAATTCATAGCTATAGGATTCACTCTTTTAAAGTGGATTTTTGTATATTCAGAAAGTTGTGTTATCATCTCCACTGTCTAATTCCAGAATAATTTTATCTCTTCAAACAAATTTCATGCCCATGAACAATCACTTCCCACCTCCCACTTCCCTCTCCTCCTCCCCTCCCCTCTTCCCCTACACCAAATCCATTAAAAATCATTCAAAGCTGTCAGTTGGTTTCTCTTCATAATGAGCCTCCATCAGGTTTCAGAGGCTATAAATCAGAATGAAAGGAGACTGCCTGGCTTTCTTCTAAAAAGCCGCTGGTGGATTTGAACCTCCAGAGAAGCATATATTTGAGGTTAGCAGTGAAACTTGATAAGCATTGCACCACCAGAGCTCCCTCCCCCAATCATTGGCAATTGCTAATCTACTTTGTCTGTACTTTGAATATTTTGTGCGTATGGAACCCTGATAGCTGATATTTGTGATTGGCATTTTTCATGTAGCATGTTTTTAAGATCATGTTGAGGTATATATTTGTGGTGTTAGCATAAAACTAGCCCCTTTTTTAGCCATTACAGTCAGATGCTTCTGGTCTCCAGCTACCTTAATTGCAGACAACATGGTCTTGCAAATCAACATCAGCTGTGGGACTAGTATAAGAGAAAGAGTGCTTCCCACATTGGACAGCAAGACTTGTGACAAGCAAGACTTATAGTGAGAAGACCCTGGTGAGAGCAAGACTGTGGTGGTGGAGAGACTGTGGCATCGATGTGGACAAATGGTGGCAAGTTGTGATCTGAAGCTTCTTGCATTTGTGCTGGCCACAGTTAAAAGATTTGGATGTTCTTGTCAGATGTTTGAAGGAAAAGTTGACTTGTAACCTCTTGGAGGCAAACCTTGTTGGAGGATTTGGTTATAACTACTCTGAGGAAAACATTGCTGGATGATTTGGATATCTGACTACTGAACTGAGACAAGAGCCTGGACTTAATTGAGGAATTGTGCCTTGGGACTGCTTGGCTGAAATTTGCTTTACATTGGTTAATATTCTCTGCCTCACTCACTCACTTCCCTAATAAACTCCATCATTGGTACCATGACTGTGAGTCTGTGAATCAGCAACAAATAAACAAACTTCTGTTGAGGCTCCAGAGTCATCCTGGGACTGAGCTACAAGTCCTTTATCTGCTTTCTGCTCTGGAGCAGTGAGGGACTGTACTATTCATACTTCTTATGACCCTCTCAGAGAGTTGTGCTCCCATGTCCCATTTTCTCTTCTTTAGACTGTATTTAAATTGTCAAGATATTGTAAGGATTGTGAAGCTATTCTGGACTCAGTCCATTGACCCATTCCTGGTTTGTTTAGGTTGTTCCCACCTTTTGACTATTTTGAATAAAGCTGCTGTAAACATTCATATGCAAGTTCTGTTGAAGGGCATGTTTTCATTTCTCTTGGATGTGTACCTAGGAATGGAACTGCTAAATCATATGGTAACTTTTTGTTTAAGAGCTCAAGCATCTGAACTGCTGTCTTCTTCTTTGTTCCCAGGCAGAAATGGTGCATAGCGCCTTCCAGGCACAGCGGGCTTTCCTTTTGATGGCCTCTCAGTACCAACAACCCCAAGAGGTAAGAAACAAGGCTGGCCTGGGGGTGAGCAGTGTGAGACAGAAACAAAGAAGCAACAGAACTGAGCACTATGGGAGGCTCGCCCAAAACTGAGAATGAGACCACATGTAGGGCCCAGCTCAGATACGGGTCCTGATGTGGAATGTTTTTCTCTCTTTATAATCTTAGTAAATTATGAGATTTTTTTTTAATGCATGCCAATTGCAGAGGAAAAAAAGTCTTCTTGCTATTAATGTATCATTATAGATACATTTATGCGGTAACATTTGAAAGCACCAGTTCAGAAGGTTAATTTACTTACATTATCTGTACCCTATTCTTTCTACTTACTTCATAAGCTTTTTATAACCAAAGAAGTGTTTACAGCTTGTTTTAGTTTAGATTTTGTGTGAATTTGCTCTGAGAAACTGCTTATTGGCGCCTCAGTACTTCTCACTGTAAATTCTATGTATTATTTAATTAACTTTTACATCACAAGTGAAAGAGAGATAGATGGTTGACAGACAGACAGATAGGGATAACTGTGTGTATTGGACTGATTCGTGGTGACCTTATATACAGCAGAACTAAACACTGTCCAGTCTTGTGTCCTCCTCACGACCGCTGGCATGTTCAAGTCCATCATTGTGACTGTTACGCCAAACCACCTCAAGGAACATTTCCTTCATCTTCACTGGCCACCTATATCCCTAAACTGTATTGATGTCTTCCTCCAGCAATTGTCCCTTCTTGATGTGTCCAAGGCACAGGATGAGACACTGTTCTCTTATGATCCATATGGTTTTAAATAGCAGAGTAAATGTTAATAAATTGATTTGCCCGTCCTTCTCCCACAGAGCAGCGGGTAGATTCAAACCACATGCGTTTGGGATTGGAACACCACTGCTTGCCACTAGGCCACCAGAGCTCCCTAAGACAAAATTATAATAATCAATGTGAAGAGCAAATTTGTGGTTGGTGGGTTTTCTCCTTATTTCCCAGATCACCACAAGTTTCCCATTTTCTAAACCCAGTCTCACCACAACTTCCACAAACACTGACATTTCATCTTACCCTCAATTCCACTCCCTTTACCAGGCTTCATAGTAACAGTGTTTGCATTGTGCTGATCCCTCAATGAATGAAGCAAAGGGTGATCTTGTGTAGGAACTTCAGTGATGCAAAATCCTTATGTCATAATGCTAAGTGAGGAAAACTGTATATACCCTATGATTTCAACAAAGTAATACAAAATATTTCCTAAAAATTAGGAATGCCATAAGCTAGGAGGAAAAAAAAAGCTGCTCACTGTTGGTTGTTTTTCATCAGATAGACTGTATATAGGCTGTTATTGTTATGATTATTAACTGCCATTGAGTTGGTCCTAATTTAAGACAGCCTCATGTATTGATGGGATCTGGCTGATGTGACCATGTGAACCATAGGATTTTCATTGATTTAAGAAGTGGCTTGCCAACACTTTCTTCCTAGTCTACCTTGGTCTGAAATCTCTGCTGAAACCTATTTAACAACGTAGCAGCACAAAAGCCTCTACTAACAGACAGATGGTTGGCTGCACATGAGGTATGTTGGTCAGACATGGAACCTGGATACCCTACATGGAAGGTGAGAATTCTACCACTGAACCACCAGTGCCCTCTAAGCCATATGCCAACTCTCATAGCCATTGAGTTGGAAGCAGCCCATAGCTGACCCTCTGACAGATGTTTAGAAGCTATAAGTTGCACAGGAGGAGATGCCTATCTTTCTCCATTAGAGTAGCTGGTTAGATTTGAACTGCTTGCCTTTGTGTTGACAGTGCAACTCTTTACCTACTAAGCTACCAGAGAGAGCTTTCTTTTCTAGACTATGTTGTTGTTGCTATGTGTGGTCAAGTCAGAACGAACTCATAGCTGACCCTTGAGTGGACTTTCAGAGGCTGTAAATCACATAAGAGAAGATTGCTCAACTTTCTCCACAGAGCTGCTGGTGGATTAAAACTACCAGAGAGGTGCTGCCTTTGGGTTACCAGCACCACTATCTATGGCTGCACCACCAGGCCTCCCTAGACCATAGATAAGGGATGTGAAAAAATAAATAGATGGTTAAAATGAAGATGTTTCTATAATGTGTTTAATAAGCATTCATTATAGAAGCAATGTCTTTTTAAATAAAAAATCATAGCCAATTGAAAAAAAGTCTAACTGCAAGTCTATTTTATGAAATTTTATAAAAAAATTGGAGAAATTGTTCTTTTGACTAAATGTTCCATATCCAAAGTTTGATAACAATTGTATAAATAAAAAAGAGAAATCACATATTACCATAACAACTTAAATTTAGTAGCTTACTATGGTTTCCAAAACAAACAAACTCCTAAAATTAAAAAGCTTGAGCTGAGGATCCTGGGAAACAGGAACTTTTATTTCAGAGGAAGAAGCTCATTTCTCGAGAGAGAACTGGGAGCTCAGGTCCTCTGGGGTCAGTAGCCAGGTTAGCCTTTGAAGTGGACCCACTGGAGGGAGAGCTTTAACAAAGGCCAGTGCCTGGGTCTCCTCCCAAGAGGTTCTGACTTCGCTGTTCTGAGAATTGGCACTGGCTTTGTTCTGGTGGCTTAACAGCAAGGAGTTGCACTGCCAACTCTAAGGCAAGTGGTTCAAATCCACCAGCGGCTCTAAGGGAAAAAGGCATTCTCCGCCCATTTGCCTCTGAAAACCCACTGAGGTCGGCTCTGAGTTTTTCTGATTCAACATACACAACAACAACACAGCTGATGCTATGAGTAGAAATCCACACCTAACAACAGCAAGTGAGTCTGAAGCATGGGCAGTTCAGTGGTAGATGCTCATCTTCCAGGTGTGAGATTTGGGTGAGATTCCCAGCCAATGCAGCTCATGCATGGACACCATCTGGTGACAATAGAGACTTGCATATTATGAGGCTGAACAGGTTTCAGCAAAGCTTCCAGACTAAGATGGAATAGGAAGAAAGACCTGGTGATCTACTTCTGAAGATCTGATGGATTACCATAATGGTCCATCCACAGTTATACTTAGGGACACTATGATTCAGGAAGTCGACTCAGTGGTAACTAATGGACGATTCTGAATTGTAGCTGAGCTGTCAAGCTCCCAGCCTAGATGGAGGTGCACATTTCCCTCCAGTGACACGAGCTGGCACATAGACTAGGCAGATGGGTTTGTAGAGATAGAGATATTCTGTGCTTCACCATGAGTGCATTTTCTTCCTAATCTTACCTTTTCTTCTAAGAGAAAGCTGAAACCACATAAATGCAAGGCCGATGCATTCTAGATACAGCCTGAACTTGCCTTTCTGAGACTAACGTTGTCTTGATGAGTCATTGAGGAGCTTACATTGAGGGAAGACCCAGAAATTTTCTGATTGTTGCTCCACTCAGTCACTTCTCTGAGGATAAAATAAGAAACTTTTAATTAGATTTCTAAACTGAAAGTAGAACAGTGATTAAGTTCTAGGTTACTAATCAAAAGAAAGTTCAAACCCATCCTATGATTCAGTGGACAAAAGACCAAGTGACCTTCTCCCATGAATACTAAAGCCTAGAAAACTTTAGCAAACATTCCACTCTGCCATGTAGGGTCACCATGATTCTAAAGCTACACAATGGCATGTGACAACAGCAACAGTTGTTGCGTGCAGCCAAAGGAGATCAGGAAAGGGATAAAGGATGTAAAAAATTATAATAAAAGAAATATACAACTATGGTGCAATATTTCTTTTATAGTGATTTGAAGAAAATGGTGGATTTAGCTGGTGTGAAGTCAAAAATGTTTTCTAGGACTGGAGAGCATTATGCTGAGTGAACTAACTCAGTCTTTTAAGGACAAATACTGTATAAGATTATTATTGTAGAAAGAGTATGAGGATACAAGGGGTGGGAGGGGGAAGTAGAGAGGTGAGGATGGACAGGGCCTGGGGGTAGTGAATCATAGGGTTGCACAGTTTGATGGGTGGAGGGAGAACTGGGTGGAGCAAATTGCAAAGATCTGGTATGAAAAACAATGTGTAAATAAACCAATATAAATATTAAAAGAAACGACAGGGTAAAGATGGGCATGATCCAATGGTGATTAATTTTATAAAACAAAATGCATGGGATTGATTGTATGAAACACGGGGTGAATGAAGAATAGTATCAGAAACAATGTATACAAACTTTGTAAGCAAACCAATATAAAATTTTTTAAAAATTGTTAAAAAATATTTTCTGGGTTAAATACTTCTGCGGAAAACTGATAATCTATTCTGAAAAGAAACATAGTAGATTTTATTAAATCCACATTCTGGTGGCATAGTCCACAGGGAGTTGCCCTGCTAACCTAAAGGCCGCATGTCTCTGGTAGTTCAGTCTGTGGAAGAAAGATGGGCAGTCTCCTCCCATGAATTTAGAAACCTGGAAGATATTTTCTCATAGACCTAATTTTATATGCCATGAGTAGGGAGGTCTCTCTGGAGCAAGTTTTGCTGCTCACGCAAAGGCTGAGCCTCTCTGTCAGCCCACTAGTGGCTCCTTGGGAGAAAGATGGGCAACCTCAGAAACCCACTTGAAGGGTCAGCTGGGAGTCACAACCAAGCTGACAGCAGTGAATTTCAGTTGTGTGAGTCTTCTTTAATCATGGAAACTTTTTTATAGAGGGACATCTATCTATCCGCATCCTGCGGAAACCTGGGGTAGTAGTTTGGATAATGGTGACTTTGCATGTTTCTTGTAAGTTATTCTAAATATGAGGTATCTTCCAGCTATTGGAGGGAATCTGTGGTCGGCCGACTTATAACTTGGCACCAAGAATCTCACTCTCTGGAGTACCACCATGTATATTTAACTCCCTTCAGATGTGGGTGGGACTTGTGAGTCAGATAGGATAGTAACTCCTTTGATAAAATTTTATGTGAAGCCTCCAAGTCCACACTGCTCTTAATATAAACACCCAGTCCATTTTGGAAGCACAGGTTGATACATCCGTCCATGCCTTGATTGACAG